GCAATTGTGAAGTGGTTTTAGCATTGAGCTTGCCTACTTTAAAACTAAAGAAGTAACAGAAACAGATATTCCAGAAGATGCTGTCATGATATCCAAACTGATGGAATCTAAAAAAACACTTTATTACAGAGATAGCTGATGGAGGCTACTCAGGTTATAAGTTGATAAGAGCAAAGCAAAAAAAAACCTTCCTAAATTTGCAGGAAACTTGTAATTTACTGAAAAAGTCACAAGGATTATTAAGCCTGTAGAGCACATGAACGATGACCTAAAAATCTCAAACTGGTGAATCATTAAATAAAATACCACCTTAATAGTGCATCTGCAAGGACAAGAGCTTCACTGCTTGCTTCTGCAATCAATGACGGTGCCTAATACATAAAACATAACGGACCATAATTGAAACATTTTGTACAAATAGGAAGAAATGTGAATTACTTTATATATTGAATGTAACACAGCCAAAGTTAGAAATAAAAAAAAAATCTGGTCATAGGAAAGTGAAAACATTACATGCCATATGGAACACTTACTGCCTGACCAATTTCAGACATCAAACATGCAAGACCAGCAATTATTTTCTCGTCTCTATTAGCCAATGCTGGTTGGAGAAGTCTATCTCTGAGATACTGTATTCTAAACAGCAAAACCTGTGGTAAACCCTGTCAATGCAGTTGCAGTCAAAATAGCCAGGAAATAAGCAGCAACAAATACCAAAAATGATTACAAAATTGTAAAGCAAAAGATAAATAAATAGAAGAACACAGCTGTCACAAATTACACAATTACAATGTAGGTTCATCATATAACTGATTGTGGAAGTGTACTAGGCCAGTTACTGAAGATTGCATATATTCCACCACTTAGATGCCTGTGGCATGCCAACAGCCTAACAGGTAGTGACAGAGGAAATATTTGACGAATGCTAATGTTCTAAGTTTTCTAATGACTTGATGGTAGGGTTTTAGACATCCATTAACTAAAATTTTCCTTAAATTCAAAGTACAAAAGGCTCATGAGATACTTTGTCTAATATGTCGGACCTTTTGAAAAAGGTTCACGAGATACTTAGTTTCCATGTCCAACCTTAGGTTTTTATATATTTTCACTGGAGTAGTCTGTACGAGCCGGCAGTCAAGTGCTGCAGATAGTATACGTCATGTGAAAATGTAAACCAGAGAAAGAATCTTCAACCTATTCTGCTTCCTTCTCTTCTCTTATTCAGTAATTTTATGTTCATTATTGAGTCTAAGGCCATGGTGCAAGTCATCAGTTGATCCTAGTAGACTGAAATGAAATCTTATGCCCAACTTTATTCACAAAAGCATTCAAATTAGGTTGCTGCACAAGGGATGAATTTCTTGCAAGTCGCAACCAATCCACATCAATGGCATACAGGACAGACTGAAAACTAAGTCAACAGAAAAGCTTCAAGTATCATCAAGGGCTCAGCCACAGCCATATTCACAAGACCTCTCACATAGAATTGAAAGGGACCATGAGATAGCATGACCTACAAGGTTTAAGCGAATTTATGTTACAAGACGACCAAATATTATTCAAGTTCAACTAGTGCTCTTTCGACTTATATACATAATGAGTAGCTAGTTTGAGAATTGAGAGATATCATGCATCACATATGCATGTACTTGATACAGAGACTAAAACGGTCCTCATGGTTAGCGATGTCTATCAAGTGAAGATAAGTATACTTTGGCATCACTATTTGCAATACACGCTGATAAATACACTCTGGTTTCTCTACTCGCATTAGGAAGTAAACCAACCTTTAAGCACATGGCTTATGTCAACTTCCACAGCAGTCCTAAGCCTCACAAAGAAGGGTTGTGTTAATGGCCGAAAGCTAGGGCATCAAGTGTTTAATGATTAATTGATGTGTTAGTTATCCAGATAGTCCTGTATGGGTCTCTAACCTGGCTCAGATGTGTTTTTTTTATTTTCCTCATTTTGCCACTAGTAACGCACCTGACAGCAGACAATCCAGTGCCTTCAACATATATAAGACATTATTTTACCTCAAAATGTGTGGGCAAGTATTTCTTTCTCCGTAGGGCAGGTTTGAGCGAAGTTCATTTGCAAAGAAAGTAACTCTCAGAGAAAGTAAATGGGAGAAGGGACAAGCTAATGCTCAACATGTAGAATGTAAAAAGCTTCTTCGTCCATGATTTGATCTGCAATTACGAAGTCCCTCCTCAAAATACAAACATAATAGGGCATAGGAGTATCACTAATAACTATGTCAGGTAACTTCTCTTGGTAATCTGATCTGTTAGCACCAGTTGCATAGGCTTGAACTGATTTAACTATGCTAGCTGCTATAAGATTTCCTTATAAATGCACCTCTCTATAAATTAATATATTTCATTTCACTATCAACTTCCTGGTGCATTCCAATTTGAGCTAGCTTTCATCCCACACATACCATTTACTGTTACATTCCAACAGGAGCCATTAAAATTAAATACTATAAGAAAACTAGGTTAAGTGCATGATATATATGCCTGATAAGGTTGCATGGACCAATATATAACTAGAAAAGTATTTCAGCTATTCAAAATAATGATTTTATCAGAGAATGAATGCCCAGAAAAATGCATAGATGAGGTACCTCATAACGGCTAACAAGCTCGATAAGAACTTCAACAGCCACATCAAATGAAGATGAAACCTTCCTCAATATAAAATAAAAAATGAGTCAAAAGCACATAAAAGGCAAGGTTGCAAACATATTTAAATTTTGGCAAATGCACCTGCAAAGAATTGAAAACAAAGTTCAGAAGCGGATGATTTGGCAGGGAAGATGGTGGGACCTCTGAAAAGCATCCAGCACGAACCTGAGGTAAGCGAGAACTTAGAAATATCAAAAATAATAGGCAGGATAAAGAAGTGGAACATGGGCATGCAGGACCTGGATAAAGCATGTAGTTGCAGTATATAAGGTAACAATCTAAAATGTAGCGCTGATAAAATCACTATCAACTTCATAAGCTGAAGAATGCTTATTCAAAGCAACAGGAAGATGCGTCTTTTCAAAATAACAATAAAGATGTGTCAATTTCACATCACAAATCCAGATTGATAGTTAACCACAGAAAACAAAGATGCACCAAGAAACAAATTAATTAATTAATTAAACATTCCGTAATTTGCTGACAAGGTTCAATCGTCAACAAACCTATCCACCAAAAAATACGGAAATTTAAACTGCCTACTTACCCAACTCAGCAAGCATCGCAAAATCTTCCGATTCCTCTCATGAAGTTTGGCATCATTATCAAGCCTCTGTTCTGATTGGAGTAAAAGGAACTCAAGAACAGTGGGAGTGTGAGATAGAAGCTGCACCACAGAACAGATTGCATTGGCAAAACAAAAAAGACATATTCGAATCTATCAAATGGATTGTCTCTAAAAACCTCTCGAGTGAACTGGCATCTGCTTGCTGCGTTAATATTCCGGTCACCGTTCTGATCTTCAACAATCTCTTCAGGCAGGACCGTGAGCATCTCCAGCACAGCAATATTCCCGTCCTCCTGGCTCTGCAGTTTGTTGAGACTAGAGAATAGCTGCTCAATGGGCTTTTTATGCTCAGCCACCCGGAGAAGAAGTGCCGACAAAGCAAGGCATATCTGAGTTAATAGCTGCAACAATAGAAAAGTAGACAAACTCTCAGCTAATGCCTCCCAAACAGAAAGAAGAAACTAGAACTGACTGCACAAGGGAATCATTTGCTAATGCCTCAAACCACAGTATATTTTCATGTGTTTCAATTCAACACAATTAACAATGGGTCAATGCGACACACAAATAATTCTTGAGAAACACCAACATGCACAGGTTGGAAAGATAAATTCTTGACGCCTTATAGTGCAGCTTTATTGGTATATTTCTTCCTCTTCTCTGGATAGGAACCACATGCAAGCATAAAGGATGCCATGATCTCCGTCTCTGAATTGCAGCAAATATTAATCTCCACCAACTATTTACTTTTCTTATTTATTTCCCATGTAGATGACCCCTCTTGATATTGGTTGATACTTGATTTTATCAAAATCTTTAGCAGATCCAAATTTTCGTTCCCCATCAAGATATCTACACTAATATGTAAAACACATTGCGGAGGCAATGCCAAAATTTGAAGAATGGAGGAAATGCCCTTCATTCCTCTTATAATGATGAGGACATAATAGTAAATTGGTAACAAATTGTTTAATGTAATAAACAAGATGTTGGCCCCAGAAGTAAATTCAAACGTCAATTGTCAAGTATGTACAATGAAGGGAAGTAGATGCTATTTTTAAATAAAAATTAAAGATTTTCATATAATACCCCAAGTTTTTACTAATTGCGATTATACCTTCATTATAGATATTTGCAAATTTAATCAGAACCACTCAAAACTAGGGGTGGATTCGGTTCGAATACGGCTCAGATATGATGCTTATCATATCCATATTCGCTTACTCATTTCGGATATGGATACGGATATACCTCGGTAAGGAAAATTCATGTCCATATCCCCTAAAATCAGATACGAATACGGATACGGATATACGTGCAGATATATAAGTAGATATGCATGTGGATATAAAACGGATATGAGAAACCTAGATATTGTAGGAAAAATATAGTTCATGTGATATAAAAGAGTTCATTAATATGTTCATTATATTTGAAAAGCTAAGATTAGATATCTTGATTGTCAAAATTAACCTCATATCCATAATCTAAAAGACTAAAACCATTATAACAATATGACTAATATGTATTTGGATATTTCGGATACGGTTCCGGATATTTCACTACAAAACTATATTCGTAATCATATCCTATCAGTTATAGATTTGAGTACCGATATTTCTTCGGATATGGATACGGTTTGCCACCCCTACCCAAAACCATT